ATAAAACAATTCAAAAATCAATGAATAAAAAAAAAGAGTCTCTTCAGTCATCAACTTTAAGGTAGGTGGGGAGCCATTCTTTACAGGACTTCTGAGTGGCACCAGTGTCTCCTGGTATACCCAGAGGACTTTGAGGGCCTGGGCACCAAACATTGGTTATACAGGCTGGAAGACACTGGTGGAGAGTCTAGCATTTACAGTACATTTACACTCCTGGCCATGTTGCAGCTCATTAGACCACAGTTATTCTTACCACAAGCAGCATTTCTTCCTAAAACAGCTGAACTTCTACCTTTATGAGTTGCCAGGGAAGTGGAAGCAGGAGAGGGAGGGTTGAAGTTTCCATAGTCATATTCTTTCACCCTTACTCATCAGCTGGTTAGCTCATTTGAAAGCCTTTCTGCTTATAATTTTCTTGGAAAAAAAAATACACTTTGCTTTTTTAAAGATTCTTTCTATAATGTAATTTCAAAGTTATTTTTTTGGCATATAATTGTATTATGCCATTTTTAGATTCCAAGGGGAAATAGCTATATATATGTATTTTCAATTATCTGTGTTTAATAAAAAGTTCTAAAACATTGTTATTGAATATCTACTGAACTAATATGTATTAAAATTATTGTATGAGTATCTTTAAATTGAGCATTACAGGAACTGGAACATAAGTCAATGACTGTATGCATTTTAGCCATGTGTCAGATCCTAGGCTTAATCTACAACAATAAAAAAAAAAAAGCATCATATCAATATTTTTCCTTGGAAAAGCAAAGTTCAATGTTAGGATGGAAAATCTATTTCCTATATACTATAGAAGAAATATGATAAAATGTATGTTTGCTAGAAATATGTTTATGTCAGTGAGCAGGGCAGAAGTGCAATGTCCATACGGGAGCATTAAAGTAGGATACAGTTTCAAATGCTTCTGGCTAGTAAGCAAATATATAATAGGGGAATTTATAACTCTGAAACAATATTTTAAATTAGGTATTTCATAAGTACCCATCTGTGTATTAGTGTTCTTTGCATCGTTTAGGCCACTGGTTCTCAACCTTCTGCAACCCTTTACTGCAGTTTCTCATGTTGTGGTGACCCTAGCCATAAAGTTATTTTACTGATACTTTGTAACTGTAATTTTGCTACTGTTATGAACATGTAAATATTTGAGTTTTCTGATGGTCTTAGGGGATCTTATGAAAGAGTTGTTCAACCCCAAAGGGGTGGTGAACCAAAGGTTGACAACTGCTGAATCAGGGTGATAATAAGAGTAATAAGAGTAATGTTTTATGTTTCCACTTAACAAACTTTCTGGGAAAAAATTGTAATAATTTAGAGAATAAGGAAGTATCACTCTGAGTTCCTTTCAATTTTAATTGAATTGTTTTATTTTAATTTATTTATTTTTCTAACATAATATTTTTTATTATTTGAGAATGTCACACAATGCACTCTGATCACACTCAACTTTCTTTCCTCCCAGGTCCATCCTTCCAACCTTATACCTTACCCCCAAAAAAACATCCAAGTCCAATATGTGATACCCATCTACTCATTGGAGTACCCTCAAACTCCCAGTGGCCATCCCTTAAAGAAAACTAAGTCCTTCCTTACTAAATTAGCATTTTTTTCTAGAATACTGACATTGCTAAAAAAATTCCATAGGAAAAAATCTCTGGGCTTATAATAGACATAGATATTTATTGGAGATGTCAGACATTGTAAAATACTGTGCATATTTCCTTTCCTTAATTTTATTAGCTTTTTATAGGCTAAGAAATAATGAACCTTGCTATACATCTTCAGTTAAACTTAATTACTGGAATCATGTTTTTATATATAATCTGATTTGCAACAGAATGGTAGAGCTTTTTTTAAATTTTTTATTAATTACATTTTAATCACTTTGTATCCTCCCTGAAACTCCCTCCCTTCTCCCCTCCTAATCCCTCTCTCCCTTTCCCTTCTCTACATATGCCTCTCCCCACATCCACTGATAGGGGAGATCTTCCTTTCCTTCCTTCTGGTCCTAGTCTATTATGTTTCATCAGGATTGGCTTCCTCTGTGTCCTGGTAAGGCTGCTTCCCTCTCAGGGGGAGGTGATCAAAGAGCAGGACAATCAATTCATGTCAGCGACAGTCCCTGTTCCCATTACTATGGAACCCACTTGGATACTGAACTGCCATGTGCTACATCTGTGCAGGGGTTTTAGGTTATATCCATGCATGGTCCTTGGTTGGAGTATCATTCTCAGAAAAGACCCCTGTGCCCAGATATTTTGGTTCTGTTGCTCTCCTTGTGGAACTCCCGTCCTCTCCAGATCTTACTATTTCCCACTTCTTTCACAAGATTCCCTGCACTCTGCCCAAAGTTTGGCTATGAGTCTCAGCATCTGCTTTGATACCCTGTAGGGTAGAGCCTTTCAGAGGCTCTCTTTGGCAGGCTCCTGACTTGTTTCTCATTTTCTCCTTCTGATGTCCATTCTCTTTGCCTTTCTGAATGGGGATTGAGTATTTTAGCCAGAATCCTCCTTATTGATTAGTTTCTTTAGGTGTACAGATTTTAGTAGGTTTATCTCATATTGTATTTTTGTATGAGTGAGTATATATCCTGTGTGTCTTTCTGCTTCTGGGATAGCTCACTCAGGATGATCTTTTTTAGTTCCCACCACTTACCTGCAAATTTCATGATTTCCTTGTTTTTTTTTTTTTATTGCTGAGTAATATTCCATTGTGTAGATGTACCACAATTTCTGTATCCCTTCCTCATTTGAGGGGCATCTGGGTTGTTTCTATCTTCTGGCTATTACAAATAAAGCTGCTGCAAACATGGTTGAGCATATGTCCTAACTGTGTACTTGAGCATCTTTTGGATATATGCCTAGGAGTGGTAGAGCTGGATCTTGAGGAAGTGCTATTCCTAATTGTCAGAGAAAGCACTAGATTGCTTTCCAGAGTAGTTGCACAAGTTTTCATTCCCACTAGCAGTTGAGGAGGGTTCCCCTTTCTCCACAACCTCTCCACAAATAAAACAATTTAAAGGATCAATGAAACCAAGAGCTGGTTCTTTGACAAAATTAACAAGATAGACAAACCTTTAGCCAAACTAAAATGCAGAGAGACACTAAATCAAATCAACAAAATCAGAAATGAAAAGGAGGACATAACAACAGACACTGAGGAAATCCAAACAATCATTAGGTCTTACTTCAAAATCCTATATGCCACAAAATTTGAAAATCTAAATGAAATGGACAATTTTCTTGATTGATTACACTTACTAAAGCTGAATCAAGACCAGGTAAATCACTTAAATAGTCTTATATCCCCAAAGGAAATAGAAGTGTTCATCAAAATCTCCCATCTAAAAAAAAAGCCCAGGGCCAGATGGTTTCAACACAGAATTCTACCAGACCTTCAAAGAAGAGCTAACACCAATACTCTTCAAACTATTCCATAAAATAGAGACAGAAGGAACATTACCGAACTCATTCTATGAAGCCACAATCATGTTGGTACCTAAACCTCACAAAGACTCAATAAAGAAAGAGAATTTCAGGCCAATCTCCCTTATGAACGTTGATGCAAAAATACTCAACAAAATACTTGCAAACCAAATCCAAGAACATATCAAAAATATCATCCACTATGACCAAGTAGGCTTCATCCCAGGTGTGCAGGAGTGATTCAATATATAGAAATCCATCAATGTGATCCACCATATTAACAAACTGAAAGAAAAAAAACCCACGTGATAATCTCCTTAGATGCTGAAAAAGCATTTGATAAAATCCAACATCCATTTATGTTTAAAGTATTGGAGAGATCGGGGATACAAGGCACATAGCTGAACAGAGTTTTATTTTTTCAATGTATTATTCTCATTGAGTATTTACCGCATATTTAAAACAGAGGAGTCTATCATATATTATATGTCTAATATGTCTACTATCTAATAAGTGAGTATATACCATATGTGTCTTTTTGCTTCTGGGATACTTCACTCAGGATCATCTTTTCTAGTTCCCACCTTCCCACCATTTGCTTGCCAATTTCATGATTTCCTTGATTTTAATTGCTGATTTAATTATTCCATTGTGTAAATGTACCACATTTTTCTGTATCCATTCCTCATTGGAGGGACATCTGGTTTGTTTCCATGCTCTGGCTATAGAAACCAAGCAAGAAGGAGGACCCTGGGTAAGATGCTCAATCTTCACTCAGAAAGGCAAATGGGGTAGACATCAGAAGAGGGAGAAAACAGAGAAAAGGGCAGGATCCTGCCAGTAGGGAACCAAAGCAGATACTGAGACTCAGCCAAACTTTGGGCAGAGTCCAGAGAATCTTATGAAAGAAGGGAAAGATGAAAGACCTGGAGGGGACAGGAATTACACAAAGAGAGAAACAGAACCAAAAATTCTGGGTGCAGGCATCTTTTCTGAGACTGATACTCCAACGAAGGACAATGCATGGAGATAACTTAGAACCCCTGCACAGATGTAGCCCATGGCAGCTCAGTGTCCAAGTGGGTTCTTTAGTAAGGGGAACAAGGTCTATCTCTGACATGAACTCAGTGGCTGGCTCTTTGATCACCTCCACCTGAGAGGTAGTAGCCTTGCCAGGCCACAGAGGAAGACAATGCAGCCAGTCCTAATGAGACCTGATAAGCTAGGCTCAATTGGAACCAGAGGAAGACCCCCCTTATCAGTGGACTGGAGGAGGGGCATGTGAGGAGTAAAGGGAGGGAGGGTGGGATTGGGAGAGAACAAAGGAGGGGGCTACAGCTAGGATACAAAGTGAATAAATTATAATAAATAAAAAATTAATTTAAAAACAGGAGTTATTTACTTATTAAATTATTTACATATTTATGATTGCCTAAACGATGTTGGAAACTATTAACATGTATTAACAAAAGTAGTAGAATATTGCAGTTGTTTGAGCTTTACTTTCCTTTTCTTAAGAGGAAGGTTGAAAAGAACAACTCTGTGTTTTGTTTGCAGGTGCATTGCCTTGATTTCACATTGGTATCGCTCACTCAGAAGTTGGAAAGCCTGATGTGGATTAGGGACTTAGCCAAGGAAGTAAAAGAAAGGAATATTTTATTAAGTGGACTCCTCCTAAATTCCTCACAGGTATGTAAGTTGTTAATATTACGGGGTGCATGTTTTCATACTTCTCGGAGTACAAAACTATTTTGATAAAAAAAAATGGATGTTGATGGTACAGAAAATAACGACTGGAAAATTAGTCATGTGGGGCTGCAGAGAGGATTCAGGAGCTAAATCTTTTGTATATAAGACTAAGAAGCTAAGTTTGAACCACAAGAACCTGTGTAAAAAGCTGTAGCGATAGGACGGAGCTGTAACTATCATGCTCTTAAAGAGAAAGGTGAGTTGGGGAAGGAGAGGCTACAGAAATTTTGATGCCAAGTAGCTTGACACACCCAATGACAACAGACAGTGCCTCATGCAAGGAAAAAGGAAATGACTGACACCTGGAGCTGTCATCTGATCTCCACACGTGTGCTGTACTCAGTAGAACATGCGTCCACTCCCATACATGCACACTCACACACACACTCACTCCTCTCTCTATGGCCTGCAATCTGTCTGACTTCTCAGCTATACAGCGAAAATAAAAGTCAACTGTTTTAGAGAAGATGTAAGCTCTGCATTTTGACAAGCTGTGGATCTCTGTAATGACATCCATCAATGACAAAAGAAACTTCTTCAATGAGGGGTGAGAGCTGTACTTGTCTGTGGCTGTGAGAAAGGGCAACTATTTATATCCTGGTAGAGATCAGTTTTGTTTAGAAGAATAGGTATAGTACATTGTCTTCTGGGGCTACTAACATTCCATCCACAGGTAGTTGACTCAATTTGCAGTGTTGGACATACCTTCCCTCGTATTTAGCAGCTTTTAAGTCCAAACAGACACCTGCCATGCTCAGCCACAGTTGATGCTCCTATAGTGTAACTCCTATACCTAAGGCTTAGGAAAATTTCTGGAAGAGAGGAAAGAAACATCCTAAAAGGCAGAGGGCTAGGGTGCCTACTGCTAGCCTGTGTCTTCTGAACATGGCAGGAAAGCTGCACTCATGGAATAACATGGCTGCCTAAATGAGACTTACATAATGGCAACCACAGTTGACATAGCAGCTTGCATCAGGGGACTTTCACAAAGTCCCACTCTTCGGTGAAGATCTACAGGTAATTGTTGGCTGCTGAGAGAGGTAGAATCAGTTTTCCCCAGAGTGAACTCCCTGATAGTTTATCCTGTCATAAATAGTCAGCCCAAAACACACACATGTATGAATGGCCTTAGTAGGTTATGTACTCAGTAGGTTTTTTTTTTTTTTTTGTTTTGTTTTTTGTGTGTGTGTGTGTGTATGTGTGTGTGTGAGTGTGTACTTGTTACATTTATATGCATATACATAGGCACAGGTAACAATAATTTAAGAATCAGTCATTAATTTGAGAGGGAGTTGGTGTATGGGAGAAGCTAGAGAGGAGAAAGGGAGGAGCAAAGATGATGTAAATAAAAGTTGATGTATGAAATTCCCCTCAGAAAATAAAGGAACCAAAAGCCAAAAAAGAAGTAATAAGTTGTCAAACAACATCTGTTAGACAGTTCAAATAATATTGTCAGATTTACTAAACAAAAATATTTCAGATAAATTTATAATTATGTTCCAAATTGGGATTTCAACTTCAGATGTAACTGAGGTCCTCTATTTTATGGGAACTCCTGTGTCTCACAGGAGTCTCACAACTCCTGTGTCTCACAACTCACGCCTTGTGTCAACTCTGAAATTGCTTAATTTTATGGCATTTTTATGATATTGATGATCAAATGATTTCCCCCAATACATGTTACTTAAGCACTTAAGATGAGTGCTTGGCATCTAAATTTGGATAGAACATAGCACTTAACTAAATAAAAGCACGTATTTTTATGTTAGTAGCAACAAGTTAAGTAGAAGGCAGGATGCTCTGCTCCCAATCATTCAAAACATGCAAACACGTTTGTGCACACATGTAAAATACAAATAAAATTTTAAAATTTGCATGTGAGCAATCAACAAAATAATTGTATTTTTATACATAGCAACAATTTGTGACATTATCTAAGGTATATCATTAGTCTGCAGGTTTGTTTTTTAAATAGACAGACTTTAATTAAATATAATGATTATCATCCATATGGGCTTGGTGTGTCATTTGCAACACTACATGGAAGTCTGAGGTAGGAAGATGGCTTGAGCTGACAATAGCTTCAGCTTGTCTGTGCAAGGTAGTGAGTCTCAAAAATATGAAACCACCTTATAGGCGGTACTTCAGCATTCTTGAACTTTGATGTAGCTGTAAGATTTGCCTCCGAAATATGTAAACATGACCTCAGTTTAGCCACCAAAAAGGTGATACATTTTACTTTACATAGGATCCTGGAAATCTAAGATGTTGAAGCTGTAGAGGCTGTGAAAGTCAAGCCACCCAAGCTCTAAAGAGATACATATTCTTGCTCAAAGACAGAACTGGTAGAGTAGGAATGTAGGTCTGTGTGTTCTTGGTCAGAAATATTTCCTTCTCCACATGCTGTAATTTTTGGTTATAAATAAATAATTTTCCATATTTACGAGGGAATCATGGATAAACAATGCTAATACCACAATGTGCAGATATAAAATAAAATTTATTTAGACAAAGCTCAAAATGGGAGAAAGAAAGATCATATCCAACCCTTGGAACCTTCAGGGTTCCATGATTCCCATCAGGTATCTGCATGCTCTGCAGCCAGCTTTCCAGCAAAGCTGGAGTTGCCAGGTAAAACGTTGGATACATTGTTCAGTTACAATTCCTAAGCCATGCATAATTTTTGGTATTAAGTACATTCTAAATATCACACGGGACACACTTGCATTACAAACTACTTATATGCGGTTTGAATTTATCTTAATACTTTGTTGTTTTTACCTGCTGAATCCAGCAGCTTTAATAAAGACCTCAATACCCAGCATGCTCTGCATAGTCACGGGTTGAGCTGCAAGCAGACTTCTACATGTCTCTGTACCTGAGGTAGTTCCTTGGTTGGAAAGCAGGCCTGATTGAAAACAGAAGCATTTGGAATCCATTGCTTGTCCTCAGAACTCTGTGACTCTGAGCTGAGACCTGCAAAGCCAGGTTTCCATAAGCTACCCAAGGTGGACTAGAGAAAAGGCCTGTACCTCTTGTCAGTAAAAGGATACTCTCATCCAGATGGTGGGACCCACTGATAAGCCTATCATTCAGATGTCTTGCACATGAGGATCAAGAATTTAAGACCCTGTCTTTAAAAACAAAATCTTGTTCTTTATTATTTTTAATGCAACTTTGCTATGGAAGTCACATAGTAAAAAAAATTCTATTGGAGGAATGCATTCTAATTATCTGGCTATTTGTGTCTGTTATAGTTACGAATTTAATCAGATATAATATATAAGGCATGAATATTTTAAGTCAATAAGAGTTTGCAGACTTATTTTATAGACGTCTAAAATATTTTATAGTGATCCTTAGTGTAAATATTTGCAAGTATACACTCTATAATTTTTATATATGACCTATAATAAAACTTTTACAGTCTATAAACTTTATAAAGTCCCAGTTTTTTATTCTGTACATGTATTTTAAAGCCTCAGGTATTCGAGGTCAAAGCAAACATATGGTTTCAAGGTTAAAGAATTTTCTGAACCTATGACTATACTGATGAAAAAAGCGCATCTGCTTCTGCATTAAAGAAGCAGCTGTATAGTGTTTGACAATTTATGTAAAGATGCTGCGTTTGTAAAAGACCTTAAAACCTTTGTGTGAGGCTAGCCATGGTAGAACTTGCCTATACTCCCAAGGCAGGAAGATGAGTTTGAGACCATCCTGATTTACATAGTGAGACCCTATCTCAACCAAGCAAATGAACCACCCAACAGAACCAAATGTATGTGGAGGACGTGAAGAAGTGGGCAGTGTGAGTTTCACTGTACTAGTTTTATTTGTTTCATTAATGAATTAGGCTTAGAGTTTGTAAATTTTAATATAGTTTAGAGAGCAATTGTTATTTTTCTTTTAGACAGCATAATAAAAATAAAATGAAAGACAACTAGAGAAGAGTGATATTTAGCCAGAAAAAGCTTAAAAAGAAAGAAAGGAAGAAAATGAAAGAAAGGAAAAAGAAAGAAACAAAGAAAGAAAGAAGGAAAGAAAGAATGGGAACAGGGTGGGGCACTGGGAATTTTGTGTGTAGGTGTTCTCATTTTTATTTCTTCCTGCTCAACACGTTTCTGGTGGTTTTGATCAGAGACAGTAGGCGTTTAGAAAGGAGTGATCGCTGTCATTGGGGGCGACTAGAAAGGATGATGCCAGTTGGCAGAGCTACAGAAAGCAACTGTGGCGATTGGAGTTTAGACTCTGTCATCCTGGCTCAGCTTCTGAATTTCAACTTTTAATATTATTAACGATATGGAAGTGGTACAGTAAAAAAGAAGTTAGCAAAGCCTTTCTCTACATTTTTGTTTAGTAATCATTTGTGAAAGACTTATGAAAGTCATATAATTCCCCAAACAAGATCTGAGACTAAAAAGTGAAGCCTTGTAGAAACATTAAATTAAATATGATTATGTAAATAAGTCTTACATCACAAATATATCAGATTATTGTATTTTATGGGTTAAATGCTATTATTCTTTGTTGTCTGTTTTGAGGGTCTTATGTTCACTCTAAAATATCTTTAGAAGCATTCTGTATTCTGAATCTTTGTAATTATTGCAAGTACACTTGTTAAGAAATATGCAAGTACAACATCTCTAATATATCTTTATGTCCAAAGACTGAATTTGTTTTCTATCTGAAGTATTATTTGGTATCATCCTTCGAGAGCACAGGATTGTTCAAAGTGTAGCTAGGGATGTCTGTGTGCTGCCAAACATTAAACAAGGAAGAAAACAAACAATCGAACAAACATAAAACTGGAGGAGTTAGCTTTTGTTTCCTTCAGTGAGCAGTTGTTTGGTCTTTAGCTCAGGTAATTGAGTGAACAGATGTCAGTTTGTACAGCACTGAAGCATGCACCGCAACCTGCAACACCAAACACAGTGCTGAAG